AAGTCATGGAGAAGTCATTGGTGAAAGAGTGTATGAACCCTGAAATACACTTTGGTGCTCATTGCCAACTAACTGAACCATTGAATTATGGAGAATCTACCGATTGTCCGTATTGACAAAATTAATCGGCCGTTTAATGCAAGTAAACAAAGATCAACCAATATTTTGGAGCGCACTTCCACAAGCTACTAAACATATATAAATATGATAAATACAAATAAATTAGATCAAATATGTCACACACCCTTTTCGTAATTGTGGCAGGCCAAAATCATAATTGCGATTAAAATACGATTAATTGCACAGCCCTAACTTTTGAGTACTTAGTTTGTCTTTCTGGTCTTTCTCTCTCTATGGAAGGAGGATATCAACGCCATGGAGATGGAGGACGACAAGAGAGACCTGATATCCAGAGAGATCAGTAAATTCAGAGACACACACAAGGTAATTTGTCAAACTGCTCTTATTACTCACTCATTTTAGATATATGAAATCCATTTATAATTCCTCTATACCTCCTATGGAGCTGCAGTTAAGATAACTTGTAGGGTGAATTCCTCCATAACATAGAGAGGCGAAGCCCCGCCCATCTACTTCCGACCCATAGGACCTTATTTCGGAAAAATTACGTATTGAAGTCAATGGAGAGAGAAAGATTATCTTTCGATCCCGTTTGAATTGTGCCACGAATTACACATATGATGTTTGTCAATTTAAAAAATTATTTCCATGTAAAAAAAGTCACAATTTGTTGTAAAACTGTTGAAATATAAGACTATGAAAAATGCGCAACTAGAAAGACTACAAATCCCAGAATCCCGGTCCCGCATGCTGGCTCTCACGGAACCGACTAACTCCCCTTGTGTGTGCACAGCTCTCAACATGCCCAGACTTGGAGTGAGTTTCACCTCTTTTAATACTTTTCTGCCTCATTCTGAAAGAAAGAAGTGAAATTTGCCAACGTGACGGCCGTCTTGGTGTGTGGTGTGAGATGGGAGATGTAGTTCATTGAGCGGTTTCACACAAAAAAGTGTTACTTCATAGTTTTACGATTTAAAAAAAATTATCTTTTAAATTTGAAAAACATCATATGTGTAATTCGTGGCACAATTCAAACGTGATGGAAAGATAATCTTTCTCTCTCCATTGACTTCAATACATACTTTTCCCGAAATAAGGTCCCATGGAGGTCCCCCGGAAAGGGAGGGACTTCGCCTCTCTATAGTTACGGTCAACTCTAGAAAAAAAGCAATGTGTTTATATTCAGATGCTGAAATTCAAACATTAAAGGAACAGAAAGTTGTAGATTTTCCAATATTTTTATACTATCTATTTGATTTCTCTAAGTAGTGTCTGTCAGTGTTTCCGCATTGGACCAGAGTGCATAGTGGTCTTTATAGTTCAGATTTGAGACTAAAGGTTTTGCACAGACTTCACACAGAGTGCATGGACACGATGTTAAATCCCTCTAAAGCTAATCTATTGATTAAACCCCACCAATGTGGTAGTGTTCATTGGGTGACTAGAGCAAGATGAATCTCACAATCTCTGCTTGAGGATAGGATGTAAGTATGATCCTCCATTTCTTCTCTACTCATGTTGGGCGCCCCCTGCTGGAGGCTCTGCACAGGGGCAACTGGCTCTCAGCTCACTGTGAATACACTTAATATAAAATGTGGGGTTTTTGGGGAAACAAACTGGATTCATACAGATTTCTGGCGATGCACAGGTGTAAGGGCAGCTCAGTGAACCTCTGCAGTTCCTCACATGATAAATGACGTGTTTGAGGAACAAGCACAGCCTGTATGAGCCTAACCACTGCAGAGTTTGAACTGCAGCATCTAGTGTTATGAAGCAGGGAGCGCCCGTCCACAGCACTCTGAGTCTGAAGACACGCAAGGTGAGTGGATTTATTTCAGTTTTGTTTTCTTTCTCCTGGTCTGTGATCCAGTGACTCCAGCCCCACTAGACTTAAGGAAACAAGAGAATATATGAGTGGATCACCGTGGTGTTATATTAATGAGGTGCAGGGACAAAGGGAGACGCAACTAAATCAGAACTTCAAACACTGGTACTGATGGAGCTGCAACGATAAAGCCATAACTGTAAGTCATTTGTAAAGATATCAGAAAAAGGTTGTTTCAGCCTCTCGGATATCACAACAATTACCCTTTCCATGTTATGTTATATTGAAAATTAAGATTTTAAACTTGGACTGTGAGCCGTAGGGTCGCTGGTTCAAGTCCCCGACCAGACCTAAAATATGTGTGGAGTGCTACTTGGAGAGGTCCCAGTTCGCCTCCTGCCCTGCCGTGGTGCCCTTGAGCAAGGCACCGGACACCCCCCTTCCCCCCTCACTCCCATTGCTCCCCGGGCGCTGTACAATAGCTGCCCACTGCTGCTAGTGCTAGACTCCTGGTACTAGGATGGGTTAAAAGCAGAGAACACATGTCACTGTGTGCTCTGCATGTGAGACCATTAAAGAGGGGTTCATCCCTCCATATTCTATCAATTATATTCTATTTCAATGTCCAGAAAATAATCCAGAATAATTGGCATTAGTTGCAGCCCACGTTACATAGGTAATAATAA